AACACCACCATAAAAAGCAAACCAACATTGTAGTTTTACTGCTTCAAAAGAAACACTTGGAGGTGAGATGATCAAGAAGTAGAAAACTGGAGTAACCAAGGGGTTAAAGATACAGTTTACACTTGGGAATTCTACAATATGCTCCTCCTTCCCTAGCAGTGCTGCCAAAACTCATCTGACAGGAAACACAAGATTAAGTTTGTCCTACCTAAGTGAACAAAGAGTGCTCAGAACAGGCAACTAGTTCACTGCAGAGTGGGAACTTTTCTAATCCTGCTGGAATCTGCAGTGCTGCTCAGAAAATATTACTGAAGTTGTTTTCTTTACTTTAACATCTTGCTTCTGGATCATCTCATTCATTTTGGTCACACTGCAGTTCTTACTGCTTCTCCCATAAAGGTTAACTTAAAGCTCCAAACATAATCATGTGGAAAATGGACATTACTGACTCCTATGGTCCATTGTTCCCCCATTCTAAGTCCCTGAAGTTCAAGTTCAATCTGGAATTACATCATGTCTGGTTTCTCCTGGTTACCAGACGGCTTGAGACGTGACCACAGCTACAGAAAAAACAAACAGCTTACTTCACGCTTCGGCTCCCCTATCGATTCAAACATAAACTTTTTTCCTTTCTCTCAAGCATGCTTCAAGTATGGAGCATGGTTAATTTAGAGATTAAGTTCCAAATTAGATTATCTAATGGCATTTTAATGGATTGCTGACCCATTTCCTGTGGGATGGCAGCATGCAAGTCTGGCTTGAACACAATTCATTTCTTAGGAAGTGTTCTGAAGATGTTTGCCTAGATGGAAAGGAAACATAATGTTCTGCACATCTTTCTGCATTACAGAGTTGGTCAAAACTATTAGAATTAGCAATTTAAATCAATAAAGATGAGAAATCATTAGTTCTTCTTTCTATGAATACTTTTACAATTGCAATACTTCAGCATTTTTGTTCTTATATTGTAATGAATTTATACTTCTCTTCCAAAATATTGCCCAAGGGGGTTGGGGGGAGGGGAGAGGGGGGAGGGGAAGGGAGGCAGACATTATGAACCATTGCTCTAACAGGTGTCTGTGTTTGCCAAAATGTGCTTGCCACACCACTGCTCCTGTGTTACTTTAGCTATGTTTTCTCAACATCAAACACACACAAGCACACACAAGGTACTGTGCTGCAGAAGCACTCTGCACCCATTCTCAATTCCCCCCCTACTTCTTTCACAAATATGAGATTATCCCATTTGATTGCCTTACCAGCATTACTATCATAAACCCGGAGTGGTGTTCTGGGGGAAAAAATGATGCTTCTAAAGCTGAACACCCCTACAGCTAGAGCTGAGAAAGAAATCCAGCACTCTGAGACCAGAGCTCCCCTCAGCATCTCCAGGAACAAACCAGCTGTTGTACTAGCCTTTTGTGTCAAGATAACAAACCAAAATCAGGAAATGCTAACCTAGTGTATTTGCCTGGTTAGTGTAAATGTGATTTTAAAGTAACAGTTAACCTGTAAAACTAACACAGAAAGATTGTTTTAAAATTTAATATAAATAACAACACTTGGGAATTAAATTATATCTGGCAATAGCTGAATTAATGTACACTTTGGCAAAGAAAATTTGTTTATGGTCTGAAAGACCTGCAAATACTCAGCATGCTCTAAAAAAGACACATCATGCTGGCTTTTATGAGTGCTCTCACTGGAATTAATATCAATGGCATAATCAGTGGCTGAGATTCAGGCTCAGCCTCATGTTGTCAGACTTACACACTCACACACACTTTTTCTCACTCTCACTCTTAAGTTTACTTGTTGCATATGCTCTTGCTCTCACGTAACTATTGAGACTGTATTTTCATAATTGAGCTTTACTGATTTTAACAGCTTCCCTTCATCTTCTGTCTCTAGGAAATCGGTTATTAAAACAGAACTGTGGTTATAAAAAAGAATGGTTGTTTGGGCTTTTTCTAATGGATTCTAAGTATCTCCTTTATATGCACAGCAAAAACTTGACCTAAATGATCTTAAAAGTACCTGAAAACTTAATTCTATTGATGTGCTTAAATATTGTTCATTCATCAGACAAAATATATACCATAAATGCTCTAAGTAAGCAACAACAACAAAAAAAAACTGTAGGCGGTTAGGGTATTGGGAGCAAAATAAAAATTACTTCTTCCAAATAACTGGGCTTTTTTCCCCTTTTTTTTAGGATGCTCACAGGACATTCTATATAAGTATTTCCTTTAAGGGTACTAGAATGTTTAATTCAGCTAAGCAAAGTATTAATCTAGTTTTTATTATCACTATTTGATGCAAGTCCTCTGGTTTTGAAGAAAATGGTGCATCATGACTTAAAGTTTTGTGGTTTGGGGATTTTTTGGTCTTGCATTATTCATAATCTCTTTTTCTTTGCAAAGTTCAGCCTTTTGCATGTGGACCACTACAGTCTTACATCTGGGACTTTAAATGCCAACAGGTATATAATGTTATATAGAAATAAAAACCCAGAAAATACGGTTTTAAATCTGTGTATCATATTTTGAAATCTATGCATCATATCTACTATCAGGTATGACAGGCAACTACTAATAAGACAAGACAGAAATAACAGAAGTTTTAACATCATTCACTCTCCCCAAGTTTCCAAGGTGTGGTTCACCAGCAATACTCCATGACAAAGCTTTAAGTTTAGCCACCTCTGCTGCCTGATTTCTGTAGAGACAAGACAGATAACATTGAGGCACTACCAACTTTTTTTACTTTCTCGAGATCAGTGATAGTTCTGAAAAATCAGTATACCTAAAATAACCACAAAAGCCTTCTGTAAAATGTCAGGTCGAGTATCATCAAAATGAGCACTGCAAATTTGAGGAAATCACACCATAAAACATTTATCAAATCATTTTGTGGGGGAAAATTTTACTGTCTGGACTAGAATATATTTCTTTGCCAATGAGCAAAAATTCCTTTTGCAATATGTTCTATTTTTTTGTATTAGTTTTAGTGCTAGAAGGGCTCATTGCTCCTTAGCCTGTGCAGGTATCATTTCCCTTCTTAGATCCTCACCTACCTGGGATTTGAAGAATGTAAAAATGTTGAATTCCAAAGCCCAAATCCTAAAAGGCATCTACTTAGGGAGAACTAACAGTTTGTTTCTTTGTCCTCCACAGCTGTGCTTAATTCAAGACCAAGCAAGCGTACCATAGGCCTTTAAAGTGATGTCCATGGCAGAATTTGTGCCAAGCTCATCTAGCAACACTTTTGTATGTTGGTAGTGTCAAAGTGGCAGGCATCACTGTGAGAGTGACCTGCAAAGCAGTTTTGTCTGCAAAGATGAGTGGATCATGAAGCATGATTGTATTCATCACCAAAGTTTCCTTGGTCATCAACTAGAAATCTTTTTCCCCCCTTTCCTTTGTGTTCATGATATATCCCCAAGGGTCTTGTGTGATGGGTACTGAAAAACAGAATTCAGCAAACCCTGGGACAGTGCTTCAGTGAGTATAAGCTGGCATTGCTTTAAAGGGGGCTTGAGTGATGACTGATTAAAACCATTCAAGGATATTCCTAGATTGGCAGTTGTGATATAATTTCCTAATGTCTGTCAATGCCCTGAGAAAGCAACACCTTTTTTAGTGGGAGAATAAATCACCTCCCCTTTGATACACTAGCTCAGTTTGGATTCACTCTTGGCAGTACATTGAAAACTGTGGCAGTTACTGCATGATGGGGATTTATAATGTGAATCACAGCCCTGGCGGAGATGAGTTGAATCCATTAGCTAATTTTCCATTGTGCCATTTAATCTATAAGGGAAGAAATGACAACACCTTGTTTCTCCATTGCAATTCTTCCAGATTTTAAATATTATTTCAGAAAAAATGCAAAAAGGAAAAGTAAAGCAAAAATATTAAAGGCATTTCAACTTCAGATTTGTTAACAGCACCAATATTCAAATTCCATAGTTACCCTTCCAAGGTGATACTCAAAACCCCCAAACGTTCTAGCAATCCATAGTACAATAGAGTACATCAAACAGTATTCTGTACATAATAAATATATACACTCACACTCACACACGTACTTACACAAACTATTCAGAATTATGTATCCTTTCATGAGCACACAAATGTCCAAGAAGTATTTAAAATTATTTCCAGAGTGAGTAGCTACCACTTCAACTGAGAGGCTCCCAACCCACAGGCTTTATATGTACAACCCCATTAAGTGTTGAGTGTTGCAGATAATCCTGCGCATAAAAGAGGTGAAAAACTGATGTATCACAATTATGCTGATTTGTTTACACAACTATTTAGACACACACCCCTCTACTGTTGCCATAATTCATTATATTCCAAGAGATGTAAAAGATAATAATGAGTAATTTATTAATGTACCAAAGGTTAATGGGCTTTGTTGTATTTGCTTTTTTTTTTCATACAGAAATGAAGTCTCTTTTGTGTAAATTATTCCTAATTATTCTGTTATTTAGTTAAGAAATAAGATGGTTTATATCTTACCTTCATGTACATGTTAGTGAACTAAATCTACACCAGCCAATTAGTCAGAAAAGTTTCTATGAATAGCATGGTTATTCATTGTCCAAAACCACCACCACCTCAGGCATTTATTACTGTACTTATCTATACCTCTAACAGCACCATTTTCTTTGTGTTAACACTAAACCCCCCAAAACATTAACTTTAATTCTGCAAATTACATTTTCATTTTCAAAGCCCAAGATCAGTGTTCCCTTAAATTTACAAATCCTTTGCATTTGACAGCACAGCATTGTCATTCCAGGTGCTTTACTAAGGTAGTTTCTAAATTTAGCTTACACTAAAGATAACCTGAATGTTTATTGGAGAAATGTTACATGTGTGTTTCGATCAAATGCTGTCATATATTCCTCTGGAGGCCTGCTAGAACAGATACTGTAGCTCAGTGCAACTTTTTTAGAGGTGGTGTAGGGGTGGAAATAATTAAAATGTTACCTTTGCCAAGTAATTCCCAATGTATCCTCACTGGCACTGGGGTATAAATGCCTGCCGTTTTGATTCATGGTCCAGTCACATATTCTCAGCTGTCAATTGAAACCTAGCAGTCAGATATGGATCGAGCAGTTCTACAGTTTTTAGTATTTAAATGAATACATGCAAACTAGTACTGTACATGGCAAAAGCCTTATTTTCCTAAGAAGTAACTTTAAAAAATAAAACAAACAAACAAAGAAAAATAACTTATTCTGAGAAATAAATGCCTATAGATTTGCTTAAGATAATGTTACCTTAATATGTTCCTCTATTAATAAAGCATAAAGGAGTAACTAGTGTTTAGCACATAACAATTAGCCATTATTAGATTACAAATTGAGCTGGAATAAAAGGAAAAGTTAATATTCAATAGTGAGATACTTTAAGAAAGGAAATAAAAATGCTGTTTTCTCTAAGCAATGCTCTATACATGTGTATTAAGTAAAGGTCAAATATAATCAATATTTTGTAGCATGCATTTCGTGAAACATAGAAGACATGCAATTTATAGAAAATTTGCCCAAATTAAACAAACTCTATGTCCTTATCTTGCTACTTAAGAAGGGTAAAAGTATTTTGTAAATAAAATTTATTAATCTAGTGTTACTGAAAGTGGTATTACTTAGCAAGACGTGATAAAATAAGCTACTCTTTCTTTAGACTCAGAATAACAGCATTTAAAATACTTTATTGCATTCTAATATAATGAGGAATGTACTGAATGTTAGCTGAAGCAAATTCTTCCCAGATCCTCAAATCATCAGTTCTGCCTTCATGGTTCATTCGAGCAACCCTCCACAGCTCCGTTTATTTAACAGCTGCCCTATAGTGTTAGCAGATTTATTGAAAAGATATACTGCTTATTTTTAAGTTTAAGAAAGTGAACTTAGCTTGAGAAGAAAACATACATCTTAACCTCTGTATAGTTACGCTGTACATAAATCGTTGTACCATTATATATGATACAGCACTCTGACTTGAAGATAACATTTCTGAATTTAATTGCATTCAATGCAATTTAGTTTTCTCTTTCCATATTCACAGACTTAAGATAGTATAGGCTACAGCAAACAAACTACAATAAACTATTTTCACAGGATCCCAACTAATTGAAGTCTTTTCCTGAAAAATACAAATGCTGAGGACAAGACAATATTGCAAACCTGACCCTCTCTGGCTGTTATACTCATAAGCTTCCTGCTGTTAAGGTCTGAGAAATGGAAATGTTAGTCCCTGGTGTTTTCATAGGGATTGTTTCTTGTTTGTTATCTAAAGAACTCCAAGGGCCCTTCTAAAGGCCATTAAAAGCATGACTAAACCACATGAAATTAACCAGAAAAGGAAACATGCAGTCAAAAAGTTTGCTAGAGGTAACTGTGAATAATACATTAGGTATGTTTAAAGAAAGGGGTAAGTAAATATTTGATTTAGCCACTATACAAAACAGTATTGTAAACCTGATTTTAATATGGAAGACATAGTAAAATATGTCAGCTCAATTACTCAATGTACAGTAGATATATTTCTGCTATAATCCTTAAGAATGTCATCATCTTCATTACAGATGTATATTTTAAAGCTTTACAACAGCTATAAAAACTCACTTCCAGCTGAAACACAAGACTGAAAGGTTAAAACCCCCTTCTTTTCTTCTTTCATAAAATACAAAATCTATGAATATAAGCCCTTTGGTTGATTAGAATCATAAAAAATGCTAAAATCACAAAGTTAGTGCTGCCAAATTATTTTATGCACTTAGGTCTAGCTCAAAAATCTGGTGATCATTTAGCTTGCTATAGAACCTGATTGCATTTGCTGTTTCAGTAAAGCAGTAAGAGATTGATACATTACATTTCAGTAAATCAGCTTATGCACTAAATGATTATATTCTTCCCACAGTCACTATGCAAACTTTCCACATATAGGGTTAATGTGTGAAATGTATCATTAAGAAAGCTCCAAAATGAGCTTTTCAAACCTATTTCTAAAATGTTAGTAATGACATACTACATATTATATACAGTCATATATACCTCAATACATATACATCTAAATACTGTAATGGTAATAATAGCATATGCACATTTTATATATATGCCGTAGGCACATACATGCACACGTATATGAAGAGTCATGCTACACCAGACTTAGTGTAAATTATAGCGCTGTTCACTGCACCAACCCTGCCATATATGCAGTACTGACAACACCTTGAAGAACTGCAGGTCTGTATGACAGTGGGTTCTGTGATAAGCCCAGGACTGCATCAGTTGTGCTAAAAACCACCTTCATAATATTAAAAACTATTACTCCACACTGCTTATCAGGGTCATATATCTGCCATGTTTTCTTTAAAAACTAACCTGCCAGGAAAACATTTTTTTTTTCCTCCCTCACATAAAATTTCATCTCCCAAATCACTCCTGCTTGGAGATCCGGATGTCTAAGATTTAGAAATATACTTCTGAAAGTATGTAGAAATACCACTTTCAAAGTCTGCATCTGCATCCCTCACCTGTGTTGAGTGCTTTCTGAGTAAAAGGGCTGGAGAAGCTTAAAGAGCAATAGTGAGCCCTGGCTCCATTTGATGGAAGAAGACGTCTGTTCACAGCGGCAGCAGGAATGCTGCCTTTGGAGGGTGTCCAGACAGCCCAGTAGGGAAAGCCTGAGGGCATGGACCTGACAGAAGTACCAAGCTTTGGAAGGATGTAGGGCACTTTAGTACAGTATTTTGTGTGCTGTATGTTGTCTGGAGTCATGCTGAAAGCCTTCTGGCTAGTTATAGTGCTCAGAGTAACTTAAGTGACCTCTAAAATCATGCTGTTCCTGTAACTGTAAAATCAACACTGTAAAATCATCAACAGTGTTAGCTGGAGATGAGAAGGCACATTCTCTCTCACCCACAGTAAGCCACCTGAAAGAGTTTCACTGCAGGACATGTTGAAGGGAGCAGCAGCAAACTACTTGAAGGCTACTTGAGAAAACTTAAATTTCTCATCAGAGGGACTTAAGAAATAGTCCTCATGAGATGTTTAATAAGTGTTGAAAAACATTACTAACTTTCTCAAAAATATGCTATGAATGCAAAATAAATTACCTGATTTGGCATGTGACATGGTGAAAAGTCTTTCCTAGAACCGTGTTGGACAAGCCTGCTCTTCAGTCCCACAGTTTTGTCTTTTTCAGCAAGGCAAGCCACATGAACCCCACTGCAATAACACCTTCCTTCCATGAAACATTATCAATGATTTTTTAATTTATCTCTCACATACCCACACAGAAGAAGACCATGGGTCTGTATGCTGAACTGAAAAAGGATGCCCAGCCTTGCAGCAGATGGGGAAACCTCACAGGCAACCTGGCCATTTCCTGGCACATGGAGCTGCAGCAGTCTCTCATCCCTGTGATACGTCGTGAAGTAGCAGAGAGCACAAAGCCCACTGCAGGTGTTTCTCCAGGGAGGCAGTGAAACTCCCCCACCTGCCTCACCCGCATCATGGGAAGAGGCCGCAGGCCCAGGCAGACGCAGAGCAGTAGGCCAAGTGCTTCTCCTAACTCATCCACCTGCCTGGTAGTCATCCACCTCCTTGATCCTGTTTTACCCTCTGTAAAATGCCAGGAAAGTGATTTTGGTTTGCACTTTCCAGTTCTGTGCGATGTACAGATGTGAAGTTCTACCCAAGAGCTAGATTTCACTATAGCTGCCTTTTTAGTTTAAACTGGGCACCTTCTAGGCACAACCATTCTCTGAAGTTTTAGTATGCAAATCCTACATACATTACAAACCCACAGTCAACGGCTCAATATTTAATCATAGTCTGAATAATATTTACAGATTAATATTTAAGCAGGTTTTGTATTCTCGTATTTAAAGAGTGGTTGTTTAACATTAGTTTCAAGATTACATGATTGCTAATGAAAGCAGATACGTATTTTGGAAAGTGTAGTAGTAGACTGTGCTACAGCTTCTGTTAGTTGAGAAAAGCCCATAAAACTTAACATTTGCATATCATCATTGTTTTGACTTCCTTTAAATGCATTTCCTCTGCAGAAAGCATATGTGAAAGGTGACCTCTTATCCATTTACCCATTGGATACCTGGTGGTCATGTGACCCAGTTTTACGTCAAACTGTTATGATAAGGGACACAATAAGAACAGCCTAAGTGTTGATAACCTGTTTCCTGGCTTTACTGAGAAGTTCTGTTTAAGAGTCCACTTGCGTTCTTCTTTCAGCCTTCTGCTGAAAGCAAATGCAACATCCAACCAAAACATTTTGCAAACAGATACTCCGTGTTCAATGGACATTTAAGTTTACAATTTCCACGATGAATAGTATGAAGAGAACTCCACTCTGAACTGTGTGATTCAGTAACCAAAGGATGCATCTGGTAAGAACAACTTCCTACCAAAGAGGCAGGACAGTCTGGAATGTAGGAAATAAAAAGCTATCTACAATTTTCTGATTTTGCATTTTAGAGACCTGAGGTGTTTCTTATTACTACATACATGACAAATGTCTTACTCATAAAGGTCAAAGCTGTGTGAAAAGCATGCATACCACACACCACACCTGGAAAGTCCAAGCCCTAGTGAAAACCACGCCATATTAATCAGTGCAAAGACTGGAAGAGTTCACTAGCTCCTCAGTGACTGGGCCAACATCAGCTAGCACAATGTACTGTAACAGACAGAAAAGTTCTAGAAGCCACTGTCTTCACAGACCTCAGTAGCTATCCTATTTATTTACTTTTTCTAATTAAAAATACAATGACCCATATAAGACTCCAAGTTGCATTAAAATTAAATAAATGGCCAAGAAAGAAAACCTGACAGTTATGTCATTCATTCCAACAGAAATGTCATTATTTGTGAACCATTAATCTATATTTGCAATAAATACAAATGTCTGTCCATCCATCCATCCATCCAGCCAGCCAGCCAGCCATCCATCCATCCATCCATCCATCTTTTTATGTTATTTACACAGGTAAATTTCATGACTTTCTGGAAACATTCTAGCTTTATATCCAGAAACAACATCAACCTGTCTCTAAGCATATACCATTGCAAGAACATAATGAATTCCTGAAGTTGAGATCAATAACACAGGAAGGCTACAGAAGTGCCATCACATAACCATGAAAAGTCTGATTATTAAGATTTTGTTACTGAACTAAAGATCTCTCCATTAAAATTATTTAACCAAAAGAATGGAGACACAACTAGAATCTGCCAAGGGAATATGTCCGCTTGTAGAAGATTGAATGTGACTGAGTTTCCTCAATTTGTTGCTTTTTCCTGTAGTCTAAGCTTATAAACCCCAAATCTTTAGTAGATGAAAAACAGAGAAAAAAGGGGGGGGAAAGGTGCTCCAATATATTTGTAAAGGTTATCCAACCTTTGTTTTATGTTCAATTCATTTAAGATGTTTCTCAGCACAGCTGATGAGCATCAAGTACTAGTTTTGACTTCATAAAGTAATCCCACCAACCAACAACAGAAAAATTAAGAAAAACTCTCTCCCTCAGGTACTATTTCTTGTCACTTTCCTTGCCTCTTCCTGTGGTGCCTTCGCTGCAGTTACATTATCAATACTTAACAACTCTCAGAAGCTGATGCTGAATCAAGAAAAGCAGACCAAATGGTCATTAGCAATTCGTAATAGGCAGTTACAGTGGAGCTGACATGACAAGAAAATTGTAAGATGCATCTGACTCTTCAGATGCAACGGAAGAGATATGTTTTGTAACTTTTCATGCCACAGTATAGAAATACCTGGTATTTCAAGGCAGATAACAGGAAAACCCATCAGCAATTGCAGCAGAAAGTGGTCTGCATAGTTATAATTCCTTATTAAAACCATGTCTTCCCAACTATCAATGTAGCATGCTAAGTAATGCATGTAACAACATATTTTTCACAGTATCCAGATGAGTAAAAGCAAATAAACTGCTCTCACTGGTGCTATTACGCACTTTCAAAGCAGTATTCAGTGCTTCCCATCTAAATGTGAGTATTCCAGGTAGGCTGAGCTATAAATTGTTTACTGGAAGTTCTAGCAAACTATCACTTTGTCAAAAGACTCCATATAAGCATGTGTTGCAAAATACATGTGTAACTTTTAAATTTATTGCGGTTACTGTAATTTAAACAGTATACATAATGGTTCTTTTGCACAACAACAAGAAGTACTCAACAGTACATGCCAATATTCCTCACAGCCAGAGAGCATAAATCTTCATCAAGACTCCTCCAATGAAGTAAAAAATGTACCGGTGACAATATTTATTCTTGAGGGGTCAGTATGCATTACAGGGTCTGGTGAGTGTTTAAAAGACCTCTCTGGAACTAAAACCATTGGCTTTCTGATTTAGAATTTCTCTCAACTAATACAAAATGATTGATTGCCTTTATTGCATGTATCCCTCGATTTTTCTTTTCATTCGTAATGGGCTGCTTTAAACCAAATGCATTTAAAATCTGCTGCAAGATGAGTGGTCTCTTTTAAATTGTTGTAAAGTAATGAAAGGACATAGTAGATCAATCTAATTACTGCCTTACCAAAGGATAACCTTTGCTCTATTAAAAATGTTTAGACAATCTCAGTGCTCTACCTCACTTTCTGGGTAATAAACATATATGGCACTGTCATCTCAGACATGCCTTTAGGATTTAAGTGAGTGAAGGCAACTAATTCATTAGAAACTTATACATAAGCACTTATACATTTGTATTTATCCCTCTGAAAAAGCTTTGTTGTTAAAGTATTCTGCTCTTTCAGATGGTTTCAGCAGTACACACTATTCCCTAATTTTGTATATATTTATATGTGTATGCATCCACACATGCACCCTGCCCCCAAATACATTCAGGCAAGCATACACATATATCCACTGTGTAAGTTAGAAAGGAATAGAGAATTCACAACAAAGATGAAACCATTAAACAATTTTTTAAATTTACTATGCGGCTCACAGGTCACCAATCGATGCTCTTGAATTACTACAATGAGACTATGAAACAATAAACTTTAGAAGGGAGAACACTGGCTTCACAATGTGACACTGAATAATTTTTCTGTTTATGAAATGCATGTGAGACCTAATTTATTTTCCCCTTCCCTCTAAGCCATCTGGCCATACGTTTTACCATGAAAGGGAGTATAAGACACAGTGCATGTAAACACCAAAGTCTGTGATGACCCATGAGATCCCTCTCACTTTTATGACACTGCTGAAATCTCCAAATTTATTTCCATCTACACAAAGTTAAAAAATATATAGAAGATGCATGAAATAAGCAATATATGATTTACATGTCATAAACTCAGCCAAGATAAAATTAAGCGTTCTGCCACTACCTTCTGGCATGTGACAAGAAGTTTGTAACTCTTTCAATGACCTTGGAAGAAGATGGAGTGGGCTTAAGCAGCAGTAAATTTGCAATTAAAATTGTGTCTGAAAACATGTAGTGAAAAAGAAAAATTTTATTGCACATCCCCAAATTAAATGGATGTCAGAGATTTTTCAAACGATAATATGTAAAACTTCACAAGAAATCCAGAAATTACATGCACCGTGTTTAAAAAGACGTGTGTTTTAATATACAATAAACATATACTGTATATCTTTTAAAAAGAACCAACTTATAATAATTATAACACATTTCATAATGCAACAATCTTTGAGAGGTTAAAAAAAAAAAAGTAATACACCAGAAAATTTACTGGAAAATGAATGGTTGGCAAAACCACTAATTGTCATTTCGTATTTTCATAAAAGTGTACAGATGTTTCCAGTTAGGTCTCACTGGTTAAAAAAAAAGTTGGCAAGGCATCAACTATCTTGAATAAATGATTATCTTTATGATTTTCTCTGAACTCAGAATGTGGTGACCTTTAAAACAGACACAATGCCACCTTGCCCTGTGAGTGGGTAGAGATAGGGAGTTCCAGATGAAACACACTTAGCTATATCTCTGCAAACATAGAACAGGTAGGTCTCACTTGAAAATGAAACAGGCATTTGTACCAACTGTTGACAGGAACCCAAGCCTGAGAAAAAAATGCAGTACAATAAATACCAAGAACTATTTAACAGCCCTTTCCTTACTGCCACATTCATCTTTTTTCCTTATAACATTTTACATGCTGTTAATTTCAAAGTACTGTACTGTTAAGATCTAGGTACAACACAAACACATATCGTAAAATATGTTAAAGTTCTAAAGGGTCTGAATTTATTCCTGTTACTGGTAATGTGGCATTTCTGTATATGCATGGCCTTGCTACTGACTGTAGCTAATTTGTTTGTAAGCCATCATTACTCTCAGCTGTATATTTTCACAGTTTGGGTAAACACTTCATTTGCATTAAATTTAGAGCATTAATGAGATGTGAAATTTAAAATGCTACTTGAAACATAAATGATGTAAGAAACTAGAACAAAAATGTGGTTTTATCAAGTTTGAAATCATCAGACCAATTTAAACCTATTAAACTAGAAATGATGATGTGTTGCATTGAGAATTTGGTTTTATATCTTATCTTCTAGAACTAAAATAAAGAAATGTAGGCTTAAACATCTGGAGGGGAAAAAAATAGTTTGAAAACAAAAAGTTGGAATTTATGCTTTAGAAATCTTGCTTATTTTTTAAACTGCTCCTTACACACCTAATTCTCTTTCCTAAAATCCTATTAAAGATTACATGTATCAGCTCTTTAAAAATAAAACAATTGAAAGAAATATGATTAGAAGTTCCTTAAGATGGCACAAATCTAAGAAATAAAGCATATGCTAAATCAATGTTTCTTAAAGGGTTCAGTTTTGTTTTGGATAAACCTCATCTCCAGATGACAAGTACTGAAACTCTTAGGAACCCTGTCTAATCCAAGATAACAGTGGCAGCATGTAGGAAGGTAATATCGCAAAAGCTTCTCTATACCATTACACCTATGTGAAACTTGCCCACCTGTTGCTGGTGTAGGAAGGATGGGTCTCTTGGGCTTAGTCCCACATATCGATTGGCTTGGGATGTGCCTGAAGCTGTGTAGGCTGATTAAGGAAGAACAAAACAGATTGATAAAAATACCAACCTATCATAACTATTACCCTGTGCAGGTACAGTACAAATATGAGAGATCCAGAGTTATGATTTTGCAATATATAGGATGTGTCTGTGTTTTTTCTTTATTTGAACTTTGATAGAAAGCAAAAGAAAAATTGGACCAAATTTGAAAAAGCATGTGTAAATTCCTATAAACTTCAATGGAAGCTGCATGTGTAAATCATAATGATGTCTTGTTAAATACAAGTCCCTCCGATTAATTTATTTTTACTTTTTTTAAAGTGATTAAATAAGGCATGTATTTGAAGGAATCGCGAGTCTGATTTCTCATCTAAGGTACCAGTGAAATCACTGAGATTACAATGTTGAGAGAAAATATTAGTTCACACTTATCATTCTTACTGCTGTGAAGACCCATCATATAACTGTAAAAGAACAAAAATTGAAATCAAAAGTTCAGTTTACTTACGTGGCATGAAATGAATCTTTACAGGCCTTTGAAAAAAGGATGTAATCTGATTATTATTTTCATATAATTTTTCAGCTAATTTTTAGTGTGCAATATAATATAAAATATTCAACTCCCCTCTGCACCAGGAAACATTTTTCCCAGGGGGAAAATTTAAGGAAGTCTCTCACTCTCTGCTACACGTGATTAAAGAAATCCATTTTTGAGGAGAAAGACAACAGTAGGTGATGCTGGGATTAGTTCCAGAATATGGATCTTTCCCCTGTAGGTCACATTCCTGTCTGGTCTCTGTCAGTAATCCCTAGAAGTCATTACCCTCTCATGGCTTTTGGTGGCATTTATGAAATGAAATAGGTGGTCTTACTCCACTTCCCAGTGTGGAGATGTCCACACTGCAACATGCAGCATCACAACCTGGAAACTTGCTGGCAGACAAAGCAAAACTACGAAAACCAAACAGATGTATACAAGGATGCCAGTGAGGAGTTAGATGGGAGTACATACTGAATTGGCCTGTTAGTGTTTAAGTGACACAGCAAATACAACAGTAAACAGGCTTTACTGAAAAACTGTCATAAAAATTAATCAGTTATTAGAAGGAAATTATGGTGCAGGCCACAGGGTTCCCCAAATATTATCAAATCCTGCTGTTCTTTCTCATTCAAAACAATTCTGCTCTTGCACTTCAGAATGAAAAGCAGTGCTAATCATTTGTCATTTTATTCTCATCAGACTGAATAATAATGATAACTTGTTGTCCAAGCATACATTTATATATATGCTTGGTGTGTATATATATATATATATATATACACACACACACCCCCCCCAATCAATCAGGTATTATATATAAAAGTAAAACTATGCATTAAAATATATTTGGTCTTAATATTCCCATTAAGTAACATTAGCACTCTGTGTGGCACTTCTATTATGACTGATAATACAGTTTATATGTATTCACATATAATTTATATATCAGCAGGACATGATCCCTCATTTTTTGTTATTTTCTTCATCAAGAAGCTACGTTCTTTCAATTTTTTACTCTTACAATTACCAATCCAGATTCAAAAGGCTTTACTGAGCATGTAGACTACTGTACTGCTCTGAATATGTAGCATTTATACGCTATGTCATATGTAGAACTGGCAAATTCAAATAAAATTTGTACATAGGGATTTTTTTACAGTTATTTACGTGCTGTAGTGACAGACCTTGGAACTTTAGGCAAGAAGTTACTTGCACACTGCTGTAAAAGCATGAGGAGGTCTTAGTGAAAATGTCTAAGCCAAGATGTTCTAAGGTTCACGGGGAATCAGGTAACCAAGTTGCAATGAATTGCACAAGAAAATGGGTGCTGACGTCATTTAAAAATATAGTCCAAATTTTTCTCTTAGTAAAAGGACAATGAACAGATTAGGTATGCTTTCCTGTAACTATGAATAATATAGTGAGACTACCAGAAAATATCCCAAAACTCTTCTGACACTTTTTTTGTTCTTTTTGCCATTTGTATTATAAACTCTGACCTCATCTGAGACAGTTATTTATGCCAGGCATGATCATGTCGAACAGGAAGCAGAATGAAACAATGAATATTTGAAACTGTACATGAACTCAGTTTTCTCAGTTCTCTATTCTGGCAGTTTAGACCAACAGCTTCTTGTTTGCTGCTAAAACTAACTCTTCTTAAAAGGTACAAGAACTGTACCACAGATCACCAGAATGGATACAGATACCACCTTTTAACAAAACTTCTGCTATACTGAAAGAACAGCTAACATACTTTCAAAAACCTATCTATATTATTATTTGTTTATACATAAACAACAGTTTTTCCAAAAATTACTATTATCCTTTTAAAATAAAGGCATAGCCACTTTTCTTCCTTTGTATCTTGGTCACTCCTATGCATTTGAGTCTCATCTCTGCTTCATATTCTAATTAAAAGATTTGAAGTAGTATAACACCTAAGAAACAAACAGTTTATGGTCTCCACTAACAACAGACCAGAATTTAGGGAATGGATTCACAGTTCAAATACTAAACAGGCTTAAAGCAAGTCATTTTAATGTAATGGACCCTAAAGTGATTAATATTTTTAAAGACTGGTAAGTTTTCTTCCAAAGTATATGTTTGGAAGTGTCTCCTAAAAAGTCTCTTCATCACTCTGATAAATACTGTTAACACTCTCAAGCCCAAATAAAAGTTCAGAGACAACAGAAACGCAGAAAATAGTTAAAAAGCAACATTCTGCATCGCTGAGCATAAGATGAGTATTTGGAAGAGAAGAAATTACCCTATACATAGTAACACCTTTGCTCTTATTTCCAAAACTGCAATTCCATTGAAGATAATAGGATAAATAATATGGTCCTATATAATAGAAAGCTTAAAAATCATGGCTTGCTATTTAAAAAACAAAACAAAACAAAACAAAACAAAACAAAACAAAACAAAACAAAAAAAAAAAAAAAAAAAAAAAACAACTGTGGATCTACCATCCATTGCAGCAATGACATGGAATTAAAATTTTCTTTTGCGACATCAGTTGTTTTTGCTAAAAATGACACAACCTATATCAACACGCAATTGTCATAGCTCGGATTCAGTATGCATTGTAACATGGCTTGATTTCTGTAGGAAAGCTCATTTAGGACCAAATTATCCAATCTCTGTTTGGAATTGTGTCTGTGGGTCATTGTAAAACCTTGCTGCCTGGGTGTGTTTCTCAATGTCTTAACAATGTCCACCTTAGATGAACAACTTAGGTGAACTTTTTTCTCGAACAGTGGTCAAATATGCAGGCTTTTCCCTTTCATTTTGGTTGTCATGTCACAAACTTTGGTTCATGTAACATGATTCATTGGTTGAAATTTGGGGAGGAAAAGCTTTGCAGTCAGATCACATTTGCTCTCCATGTAAAATGATGAGCAACTACTTGGTCAAATAGTAGGAAAAGGCACCTTTTTCTGGCCTCAATTTGAAATCATATAGAATCTTCGATGGATATTTTTTGTTTCCTAAAGAAATACTTACTGGTTGCTGTAGGTGAAGATGCCTCACCTTCAGTGGATGTAGTGATGGGTTTAGTATCTGTCATGGTCAGGGTCACAGGTCGCACCGCACTGTGATGGGGAGAGGGTGCCAAAACTGGAGTAAAATGGCCAGGCACTTTCCCTACTACTTGACCACTGCTGTTAGGCTACAAAACAAAACCAAAAGAATGACTTGTGAAACATACACATTGAGTTTAAGGAACCTATCCACCTATTTTAGGGTTTTCCAGATTGCCTATCACTGTAGTACCTGCATGCTGGAATGTGCCGTTCTAGCAAAACTATGAATTTCTGTGTGGTATTTTCAGCAGGCTGATCCCTCCTCAGATAGGTAGCACATGCTTAAGTTGCAGTACTCTGTGGTAAGCTTGCTTTCGTTCTGGATGCAGTATGCATCAGATATTGTTTCAAAATATATTTGCTGTTCACGCAGTGGCTGTGAACCACAGTAAATCCCACAATAGCAGGATTAAACTGACCAGGCATAGGCCCTAATGTACAAAGTATTAAGAGCAAATGAATCATGCAAAACCTCTGTTTTCATATGCCATACCACTCTGGCTTGGAGCATAATCAAGACTTGACCACAGTTGTCCACAGAGATTACACATACTGGAAGGCTAACTAATAATTCACATGTTTGGGAGGGGGGGAGAGGGTTAGGGTACGATGCACTATAATGTGTGCATCATAACATCTGGCCAAAAGCCACCTACCAAAAACACAGAAGTGTTGAATACCATGAACTTGGCAAGTCAAGAGCATAATAAACACACTTCTTTCACAGATATGAGAGGCAGTCTGCATATGCCTTCATGGTACAGGTCATCAAAGTAACATGCTACTTTCTGCATATAAGCATATCTGAATTTCACAATGTTCACCGGCAAATGTACATGTTTATCTGATACTTAAACATGCCATAGACATGCTGAATGACTGTAAATACTCCAATGTAAATACTTGCAGTATGAATTAGTTGAAAAAAATATTTTTTTCAACAGTGGCTGATAACTTTTGTCTTAAAATGGTAGTGCATTTTGTGAATCATAGATATTTTAAAATACAGCCATATAAAGTAAAAAATACTGGGAATCTTATTATCAGATGGATCTTGTAAAATTTGAGAGAACTTGTAGTAAAGAGACTGGTAAAGCGCCAGATTCAACTGATACAAGGAAAGGTTAAAAGAGGTAAGCATGACTATGGTAATGAAATAATAACTGAGCTGAGACATTTACTGAAAGTATGTGTAGAGTATAAACACACAGAAGAACAAGGAATTATTTGGAAAGTACAGGAAGTATAAACTCTGGGTAATGAAATGGAGAAGGAGGAAATTTAAAATTAATAGTAGGAGAAATTTCCTGGCAGTATGATCTACTTGACTTTGCAAATATACCCAAGGGAGATTCTTGTTCTTTAGGACATCTAAAACTAAGCTAGAAGAGAACACTAGAAATTTAAGTGTGGAGATCAATCTTGCATTCACAGGAACATTTGTCAGTTAGCAAACTATTTCCCTCTCTAAAATCACAAGCCTTACAATGAACAATAACAGTGAAAATGTACACTAATGACCAGTGGCCAAAAAACTACCCCTCTAAATGAAAAAAAAGTCACCACCTAAACATAACTGTACGTTTGGGGGATGTTGGAGCAGGGTTGGGGACAGAAGAGCCAAGATCTTGCAAATATAGAAATTGGGTCCTATTTACCACTTTTTCATTCATGTTCCTAGCTGCATAAGCTGAGAAGTTACTACTAAGATTTTAGTAACAGGAGTTCCAGCTGTCATGGTAGCTTCAAAATAAGAAAGCAGCATGGATTCAAAGGAATGACAATACTTTCACAAATAACACAATTTCCCCAAATAACTGACATGTTACATTTTTATTCAGTAGGTGTTTAACAGTTAGAAAGATCACCCTTATTATTTGTACTTTTAATAAAAATTAGATGATGTAGAATATATACAAGATAATTTCTAGAGAATAATGTGGCCTAAAAGTTTACTGAGTATCTGTTTGCATGCTTACATGACCAATGGGAAATTCATTCAGTAATTACAGAGGTCTTTCCTCAAGAATACAAAATTACATCTTTATATTACAGCAGTCGTATATTAAGTATAGGTCAATAAATCCACTTTCTTTGAGATCTATCTTAGCAGTGGTTTAGGGAATTTCATTTTGTAGGCTATATTTTAAAGGCCTGTCATCATCTAAAACCAGGTTTCTTGGTGACCAGAAATCTGACTTCACCTGCCTTAGAACTAAATGAAAATTTTAAGTAACATAAATTCAGAAAATCTCTAAGAGTCACCTAAAATAAATTCCCCATAAGAATGACCCAAGATACTCCAAAACAGAGGCAAGTATCCTCACTTGCTGATTGCGAGCTGTACAGAGTTCAACTTGAGACATCTCTATGTTACATAATAAAACAGGCTCTGTTGTAGGTAAGGGAGCCGTGACACAGTTTGAGGCATTTGTGGGGAAAACTGTCAGAAATGTATGTGGGCTTTATGATAAACTTTCCTCTAAAACACTGGAATTCTTTGTCAGTAAGACCTGCTTGCTATGCTGGACTGGATTTTCCGTATGTTTCTGGGGAGTCTGTGGCAGAGGCAAGCCTCGTCTCCTGCCCTGGCAACCCTGCTGTCCACGCGTCCTGCTGGAGGGACCTTCTGCTCTCATTTGTGTCTGGTAGCTCCTATGCAGAGTCACTGACCCGTGACCACAGGCCTACCTCAGAAGCCTTAGCTCATGTGGTGTGCTAACATACCACAAAAACAACCGAGAATCCCTTACCAAAACGAGCAACTTTTATTAAAAACTAAGAAAGAAGATTCTGGGAAGTTTATGGATTGAAATAGCCAGTGTCATCAGCTTCCAAAAGCAGCTCTGTCTCCAAAGCCAGACTCAAATTAATTAGAAGGACACAGCTGGAGACCAGGACGATTTACAGCAATGTATCACCCTCTACCATTCCCTAGTGATCCCGGTCAACAGGAATGCAATGGCTCACATGGACTCCAGCTTAGTCTTTGTGCATATGGTCCAAATGAGCAAATCCTTTCCTTGCTAAGTTGTAAAACAAAGAATACACTTATACCCCATTCTCATGTAAATCACGTTTTTCCCTGTGCGATACATAACAGCAGTGCAGTACATCATCCCACGTCATATCCACTTCATCCAAATTGAGGGTGAAATCCTGTCCTTGTTGAAATCCATGAGAAATTTGCTAGAGATTTTAGTAGATGTGGCTTGTGACCCCCCCACACCAAGTGTCTACATTTCTAGTTCTTTTTTTTAATGTCTTTTTAAACGGTAGGCATTGTACTGTATCTGTCCTACATGTAAAACTGAGTACAAACACAATACAAAGAAACTGAAGTCTGATACCTCTAGACAGAAAAATAAAACATCTGAAGTGAGAAAGGGGAAAACTTGTTACTTTAGTAAGTTTAATTTTTATGGTTCCAACATTTTGGACTATGACTGCACATTAGATTTCAAATGCAATTATAACCTAATTACCTGCCTCTTAACAATTTTATTGCATACTGTCACTTTTCCTCAAGATCTTCTGACTGCACTTTATGATTTATTCTGCCTTTATTTTTGTAATCTCCAACATCTATTCTTTTATTTTTTTTGAGTACTTTACCTCTGTTTTCACATTTGTAACAAAAATTTTGCAGTAATGTCAAATACTGTATATTGCAGTAACTGTTCAAATGTTATTGCATGTAAAACAAGATAACACAAAATGGGCTAAGTACAAACAAGATAGAGCTTGGTGTAGCATGTCTAAGACCCTTAACTTCTTCCCCCATATTAAAAGTTTCCTGTATTTAAATTTTGAACTAAACTCATTTGTAGGTAAGCGCATACCAACTGGGATTTTACATATGTATCTCTTCTTCAACAATCCCATCTGTCTTTCAGATGTGAATTAAGGTCCTCCCTTTGGCACAGGTTGTCATGCGAAATGGTACACATGAAATTTTCTTAAAACATCAGTGCTTTTCCTAGGTGTGCTACATTTGAAAACAGAGTTTACAAAAAGAGGTCTCACACTCTCCCAAATTCTGTTACATGAATGTCACTAATAAGAAACCTTCCTGAAATGTCCATGCTTGTATTTCTCACATGCAGTGAACAGTTAAGTAGTTAAAAAAACTGATATTTAAGTTATCATAATTATTTTGCAGTTTAAGAGCATAAAGTAGTCCTACATGAATAGATGAAGGATGTGTCTTATAGAATTATTGCGTAGGCCTGTCTTCAGACTGACACTGATATTGCTGCATTGGTTTATACTCAATGCACACTTCTATGGTTATCTTTGCAAACACAGAACTAGAGGCATTTGAAATAAAGGTCTAGATTCTGGAACTTGGTAGCAGTACAAGCTCATTAACACTGTCTCTCTCAGATGTCTCAAGTCCTCTGTCCTGATTTAAGATTTCAGTGTCAAGAGGGAAACACTCTGATCAGAAATAGCCCTCTGAAGTTGTCAGTTCACAATCGTATTAAAAACTTGCTGCTAGAAATAGCTTCTGTGACCTGTTCTCCTTTTAAATTTTGCAGCTATGTCAGAAGATATTTTAGCATGGAAACTACGTATCTATTTGGACAATATCTGCTTGAATTGCAAGTGCAAATATTTATATTGCATCATTTAATACAAATTCATTTTGTCCTTATTTAAAACAAGTTCTAGGTTCTAGTTCTAGTTTTCCCAGAAAAGAGTCTTACAGAAAAATTCATTACAGGTGAAAAATCAACTGTTACCATCAACTAGGGCATAAATATGTCTGTGTGATGGTTTCACAGAGACATGATGCCTGAGGCATAAACCTCAAGCAAATTGCATGGAGGCAGCTGTGTGAGATAAACAAGCTGTGCATTTCAAAATGGGAGAAGGAAAGAAGCAAACACAATGAAGTTCTGGCAAAATTGGACCCATTTTATACAGGTATACATTTTTCTGCTGCTCGATTGGAGGCTAATTTGATTTTCAGATCTGTGTTACATTTTCCAGCTTTTTAATTCATACCATGTTGAATTGCCACAGATCAATCCATTCATGTGCCCAAAGCCACAGATGAGTTGTATTCACTGTCACAGCTGTA